TTCAAGCATCTCCAAAAGCATCTCATTTAATTGCGGTTAAAAGAATCATTAAGTATGTTAATGGAACTTATAACCTTGGTTTATTTTATCCAAGAAGCACTTCTTTTGATTTATATGGTTTTTATGATGCCAACTTTGCCGGATGTAAGGTAGATCGCAAGAGTACTAGTGGAACATGCCAATTCTTAGGAAATTCCCTTGTTTCTTGGGCTTCCAAGAAACAAAATTGTGTTGCATTGTCCACTACGGAAGCGGAATACATTGCCGCCGGCTTATGTTGTGCTCAAGTTTTATGGATGAAACAAAGTTTAGTTGACTATGATTTGAATTTTCAAAATATTAAAATCTTTTGTGATAACACAAGTGCTATAAATATTTCCAAAAATTCGGTTTTGTATTCTAGAACTAAACATATTGATGTACGCCATCATTTCTTACGCGATCGTGTAGAACGACAAGATGTATCCCTAGTGTTTGTTGACACAAAATCTCAACTAGCGGATATATTTACTAAGCCTCTTGGAGAGGATGATTTTTGTCGCATAAGAAATGGTTTGGGCTTATGCACTATGTGAAAGTTCTACATTGCTTGCTTGTTTAGTTGCATTTCTTGCATTTTGCATTTCTTTTCCTATTTTTGATGGTGACAAAGGGGGAGAGAAATCTCCTCATTTGTTGCATATATTTAGGGGGAGCTCATAGATAGGGGGAGCACCTATCTATAAGCTATTTTATTTTTGCTCTTATATAATGGTTGGTTGTCATCATCAAAAAGGGGGAGATTGTTAGCCCTTATGTTTTGATGATATTTTACAACCACCATTATCGGTACTAATAACTTATTGAGTGAGAATGTAGTAAATTCAATAGATAGGGGGAGCTCATAGATAGGGGGAGCACCTATCTATAAGCTATTTTATTTTTGCTCTTATATAATGGTTGGTTGTCATCATCAAAAAGGGGGAGATTGTTAGCCCTTATGTTTTGATGATGTTTTACAACCACCATTATCGGTACTAATAACTTATTGAGTAAGAATGTAGTAAATTCATTTATCAAGCTCGTTAGTGTCATTAACGGAGGATGGATGGAATATATGCTACAACGATGATATCCAAAGGAGGAGGAGGCCAAGAGATGAAGCAACGTCATTTTAAGAACGTCAAATTCGAATACAAGCTTCATCCGATTCAAGCTATATCAAAGCTCGAGTATTGCTCTCTATATGAGGATATTAGCTTTCTTTTGTTTCTCTCTCTAGTGCTAGAATGTAGGCAAAGAGTTACTGATTTTACTTAAAGCTATTGGGAATCACACACGATTTCATACTTAGGTTTTTAAGCGTTTTTCACAAAATACTATTTTTCATAAGTATGATGACTTATCTGCAAAATTCCTTTTCTAAACAGTTTGTTTTTAGTATTAAAAACATTTTACAAAGTTTCAGATTTTTCAGAGATCAAATAAATATTTTGCAAATATTTAAAGTTGGTTAAAAACTGTTTTCTGCAGAATGTCAGAAAGCGGTCGACCGCTCCCATCGCCATTCCTTACTATTTTCCAGAGAGGTCGTCGGTCGACCGGTACGGTCGACCGAAATCTCTATTTTCATATCGGTCGACCGCGCCGGTCGACCGACGGTGGCTCTGTTTGTTTTCCCAGTTTTTGAAGCGGCTCGCGGTCGACCGAACTTTTCGGTCGGTCGACCGAACTTTTCGGTCGGTCGACCGACGTGATTTTGCGATCGACCGAAGGCTTATTTCGGACAACCGAAATTTCCCCTCGGTCAACCGATTTGTGTCGTTGGTCAGCCGCGACTTTTTAAACGGTCAGTTTTTGCCTCATTCGCTGTGCTTTCACCTAATGGTGTTTGGCACAGTCTGAGCTGAGAGTCTGAAAAGAAGATTATCTTCTTCGCTGTGCTTTCACCTAATGGTGTTTGGCACAGTCTGAGCTGAGAGTCTGAAAAGAAGATTATCTTCCTAAATAGGAAGATTTGGTTTTTTGTTTTAAATGGTTTAAACTCTTTTATAAAACCCCCCCAGACTTCTTCTTCCAGCCCTAACGTTTGAAAAACCAGAGAGCTTTTTCTGTTTCCTGAGTAAAATTTTCAAAGTCTATTTTCTCTCTGTTTCTTAAGTGTGATTCACTTCCCAGCTTCAGTAAACCTTCTCTTTGCTATAAGGGCTGTGTAAAGAGAGGTTCTTGCATTTCTTTCTTCTGCTGTGTGAGTGAGATCTGTGAAGATCTACTGTGAGGGAGTGTGATCTGTTGAGATCAAACTGTGTAGTGAGAGAGATCTGTGGAGATCGCTGTGTAGATGAAGTTCCGGCTTCTAAACCGGGTGTGTAGTGGATTTCTCCTCGAGAGTGATGAGCGGGGACGTAGGCCAGAGGGCCGAACCTCGTTAACA